CTTTCAAACATATTTACTTAACAAAGGTTAGTAGTGGGCTCACTACGAATAACCCAACTTTGAGATGGTGTTTAAATAAAAATTGGGTTGGACCACAAAAATGGCAAATTTGGGCTGGATTTTAATTATAATGAAGCCTGGTTTTGTATTGTTTATTTGCTTTGCCCAACAGCTATTTCAATTTCAATGTAATGATTCTAAGCCCATCAAGATCTGCATATAATTTTGCTGGCCCCATTGAATTTTGTTTTTGTTTTTGTTTTTGTTTTGGGTCTATTATTTTAGAGCATGAGAAGGGTTAGAGTCGAAGTATCCTGTTTGTAGCTTATAGACTAGAGCTAGAAGTACGACTTTTTCTCCCTGCACCACAAAAGAATTGATCATTTTTGTCCCTAGTCTACCATAAATCGAGGAGACTTATCTATCATGTGCTATGGTTGAGGACTTGAGCTTTTATTTATTTTTGGCTAGAAAGACTTGACTAATTGAGTCTAAGTAAAATAAGTAAAACAAAGGAGGCTATGACTTTTTCTTCTACCCTAATTAGTAAAAAAAGGGCTTGGTTTTTAGCAAAATTGGCTAAAATGGACCATGTTCACAACACTTATTTCGTAATAAACACCTGCATAACTCTAGAATTCATTTAACTTACACCAACAAAGAAGAAGCATAAAGGCGAACATGAGCAAGGGCAAGGAGAGAGAACATCTTCACAACAAAATGGAAAATCTCACAACACTTCTTCGCATAAGAATTGGAGCAAAGAGAGAGCACAAGAGCACCCAAATCCATTTTAGAGAAATTAAGACATTGTTAATAAAGGGAGTTGAATTTCCCACTACCTTTGTTGGAAATTGTACATTCACACTCATCTTTTGTCCACTTAGAGCATCTCCAATAGACCCTTTATCCCCTCATCCCTAGCTACTTTGGCTAAAAAGAAGGAAAATCCTCATTCCAGCAGACTCCTTATTTGACTCTCTATTTTAAAGAACCAACTTTTGGCTCTCTACATCTAGAGAGAATGAGAGAATTTGGCTAGGAAAAGAGAGATATAGACATTCAGGAGGTTGATGGGGTTAGGTTTCTACTTTTCTTTTTAATATATTTGATTTGCAAGAGGGAGAAAGAGAAAGAGAAAATAATAATAAAAATATTTCAGATTAGCCAAAATAAAGAACATTGCTGGAGGAAATCCCTTTTAAGTGGTTTGCTATAATAGTCTTTTAGCTATTTTAGCTAGAATTTGGTTAAAATTTGAAGACTCTCCTGGAGGTGCTATTCACTCCATTTTTTGTTATAGTAAAAAAGTATTACAAAACAAAAAGGAGTATACGAGAATGTCTACCTATTTGCCATGGTAAAAGGTAATGAGAGGCAATGGTTGTTACTATTCACATAAATAGTATCTTCCCTTGCAATTTTTTTTGTTGGTTTTTCACCCATTGTCATGACAACCCAAGGGCTACCACTATTCACATGAAATATGATGAGAGGAATTTGTATGGTGTGAGAAGTAAAGAATATGTTTTTTTTTTTTTTTTTTTTTTTTTTTTTTTTTTTTTTTTTTTCTTTTTTTTCCTTTTTTCTTTTTTTTGTTATTTAAATTGGTTGCTAACATCACAATGACATCAGCATTAGGTCAGCTTGCCCAATCAAGTCTTGTCTTTGGGCTTGCCCAGGTTGGTGGAGCCTAGCTCTTGTCCTAGCAAGACTTAGGAGTTGGAAACATGAATGGGGGCTTGGGGGGCCTCTTGCCTAAGCAAGGGCCTCATGCTGGAAATGCTCCAAGGCCCCATTTGGTTCATGGAAAAGGAGGCTTGGGATGGGAAATCAATTGCTTTCTCATATTTGGTAAGTTCAAACATAAAAAATGGTTGTCTGGCATATGAGAAAGTAAGGGGAAAGTGAAGCCATCCTTCTAACTTGCATTTTGTTTTCCACATCATTGGAAAGTTTGGGAAAATGAGTCAACATTCAATGCACATTTTCATGACCATTTTGTCCATATTAACAATTTAGAATTACAATATATCATTAGTGCACTCTTTTTTTTATTTGATTTAGTATGGGTATAATTGAAAAATTATACAAACTTTGTTTTCCATTCATACTCAAAACAAATATGGAAAAGGAAATAAAGTGAAATTTCCTGGTTACTTTCCCGACATTACCAAACGTGAGAAATAAATATTCCATTTTCTATTTCTTAGGAAATGACATGGAAAGTGATTTCCCTTCAAATCCGTTATGTGAACCAAATAGGACCTAAGTGGACAAAAGAGGAGTGAGAAAATCATCACCCTAAATAAGTAGTCACTACTCAGCACTACTGCTATGTATTAGGTATCTAAAGGAGGGGCATCCAAGAAAATATGAGATAAAGTTTTGTGGAAGTGTTTATTACGGAATAAGGGTTGTAAAGATGGTCCATTGTGGGTTATGTAATTTTGCCTAGACAAATATACATTGTTAATTATTTCTTACTCGATTAGAACAAAAAAAAATTGAAAATGAAAATGAAGTGCAAGTTCAAAAATTAAGTATTAAGAAAAAAAAAATGTAGTATTAAGAAAAAGAACAAAATTAATTAAAAATATATTGAAAAACAGGAGGTAATGTAAGTGGAGAAAATAAAAATTGGAAAATCAGCTCCCTATCCGAAATACCAGTGGTGCATGCATAGTTTGATTTGTCCTGTCACTCGGCGTTTTCAGACTTTTCTGATGTGATGGGAAACGTTTTTTAAATTCTTCGGTGCCAAGAAGACTTTGAACATTTCAGAGCAAATTTAGCGTAGTACGCCCAACCAACCAGCCAACCAATTCAATTCAATGATAATTATTATACGTACTAGAAATACAAGTACACATATGGATCATGTGCCCTATCTTGTTTTTTTATTTGACCAATGTTTTGAAAGATTCCATCCAAATTACTCTGCCCTACCACCACCACAAAACCCCAATCAATTTTCAAACATTTTCTTGACTTGTTTGGCAACCTTTATGTTGATGGGTGACCCGACCTTCCCATTAAAGCTAACACGTTTTGAATATGGCTGCTGCTACTTCGTCAATTCTCTCTCTTGGTCAACTAAAAATATATATTTAGTAGAGATGCTTTTAATAAATTTTAAAAAAATTAAAAGAGGTGCATTTCGATTGGAGCACAGTGCCATTTCAAATACGGAAAAACTTGTTTGAAACGGAAATAACACTATTTTGCTATTTCAGACCAATCACTGATTGATACATGCGGCATACATTGATTGATCGGGATATCAAAACCGTGTTTTTCCCATTTCATGTAAGGATTTCTCCATTGAGAGTAAAGGTGTGGAAAGTTCCCACCAAGCATAAATTTTTTATATTTGGTGGCATTATTAATTAATGGTTTTATTTATTTATTATTTATTTGGTCTGAATTGTCAATGTTATAAAGTATGTGTACAAACAATGAGAGTGGGTGAGTAACAAACCGCGTGGGAGATTTCAAATCGCATTCTTTAATATGCATGAGTGAATAAATAAGGTGAGTTTTAAATCATGCTTCGGATTAAAAATAGAAAGATAAAACCACAGGGCACCTTTTAACTTATAAAAGACTGAAGATTAAAGACCAAAACAATAGCTTTTGATTTTTCAAACATCACTTGGTGTTGAAAATTCATTTGGAAGTGCTTCTCTCGAAAATACAAAAATGCTTTATTTAACGTGAGAAGCACTTTAACTTGTTTTGTCAAATATTGTCTGAATCACTTTTGATTATTTAAAATAGTTACCAAACATACCCTTAATTCCGGTCACATATCATTTTAAAAAAACTAATGCAAGTGGGGGGGGGGGGGGGGGGGGGGGGGTGTTGGGTTGCTGGTGGGATGCAGTTGTAGTTGCAGCTATTGCAGTATTAATCATGTAATCTCAATGTAACATGCATAAGTATTAGCTAGGGAAATTCACGATGCAATGTAGATTTCTATTCAAAGTGATTCAAGCACTGCAATTATGTCAGGAGCTCAATTCCGGGCACATCTGATTTGGAAAAGATTATTGATTATGCTCGGGATAGTTTTCTTCAGTTTCATGATTCTTCGATAACTCATGTTTTTCAAGAAACTAATATGGTTGTTCATTGTCTTGCCTGTCATGCTATATCATTAGATTGTTATATGTTAAATTGGTTTGATAAAGTCTCCCGATATCGTATGTATATGATGATTTTCTAAAAAAAGTTGTATATGATGAATTTTTTTAAAATAAATAATGTGTGGGGTATATTGGTAATTTAATGTACTTGACGGAGTTAGAGTTAACAAGGTTAGGCGGAAGCGTGGAGTTTGGTTCCAGGATTTCGTGCCGACAAGGACCAACTGGGTGGCGGGGCCCACACGTGACAATTACGAGCAGGTAGTTCTCTTCTTGTTGTCTTCGAGATTCGAGACTTGGGTTGAGCAAGAGCACGTTATACACAATTCTCAATCCTCCGTGGGCAATCTCGTCACTTCACTTGAGTAGCCATAGTGATCGCCAGGTGTCGAAATATCACGCGCTTCGAAGGAACATTTTCCACATACGAAGTTTCCTCCTCGTAGTGTTTGTTGGAGCACAGTTTTGTAGCCAGAGCCCAAGTGGGAAAGCATCATCTTCCCTCTTGCCCTTTGAGTCCACGTGTTTGAATCGTGTCACTTGCTTGCGGTTGCCTCGAATTTTTTACAATGCAAAAAACACGTGCTTTAAAAAAATTGAATACCCATTAACCAATTAATTTTAATATTATATTCAAAGATAAAGACACCAAGAAAGCTCATGGCCGGTTATAAGATTCAAAGAACATGCTAGGCAAACTCACTCGGCTCTCTCCATATAATATATTCTCCCTCCTCCTCCCCTTCTCTCTTCACCATTAACATTTCTCTCAATTCAAGCCCCTCAAGCATCATCATCACCGACCGAGATTTGATTTTTCTCTCAGTTTCATCACCATCAATTGGAAAAGCCATGGCAGAGAAGGTCAATTTTGCACAAACATGCAACCGCCTGAGCCAGTACTTGAAGGAGAAGAGAAGCCTGCAAGTCCCCACAACCATGAACTTGTTGACCAACATGGAGACCAGCCCAGCTGCTGAGACTCCATCTTCAAAACCCAGTATTGACTTGTTTCCACAGTTTGCTAAGAACCCGGAAGCAGTTTTGGCCAATCAGCCTGGATCTGCCCAAATGACCATCTTTTATGGTGGCCAGGTGCTGGTTTTCAATGATCTTCAAGCAGAAAAGGCAAGAGAAATCATGGGTTTGGCTACCAAGGGAAGCTCCAAGATTTATTCTGGGTTTGTTTCTAATGGTATTGACAAATTGGCTTCTGCCTCTATGACCAATATGGTGGCTTCTGAGCCAAATATTGCAGCTAATTCTCAGGACATTCAGAAAGTTCAGCCTCAAGTTATTGGTTCAGGTAATTGAATTGTTCATCCCCACTAAATTACCTCAATTTTTTTTAATACAAGCGATTCGGGAAGAGAGTTTACAATAATATTCATTGGGTGTCTGGAGTTTTGAACATCCTCCCACGTAAGTGGAGGTTGAAGAGTGAAGCTTTTGGTTGTGTATTTGCTAGGCTTGTAGTTTTTGGATATTGATTTTTTTTTTGCTACAATTTTTGTGTACAAACAGATTTGCCAATTGCAAGAAGAGCTTCACTTCACAAGTTTCTGGCCAAGAGGAAAGAAAGGTAAATTACTTTCTGAAAAATAATTTAATTTCTAGGTTGAAAAGTCTTGTTCCCCAATTTGGGTAAATATGCATGTGCGAAGAGATTCTTAGTGGGATTTTTAATTTCAGGGTGGCAGCCATAGCACCATACGAAGTGAACCACCAAAGAGCATCTCCTTCCAAGTCTGAGGAAGAAATGAGTTCAAGGGACCAAGTAGAAGGCCAGTCTTCAAAGCAGCTTGAACTCAGGCTATAGTGATTTTTAGTGGGCTCACAATTTTTATTAGATTTAGATTTTATTATCATTATTATATAAAATATATATCTAGGGTTCCTAGCGGCTTTATGATTCTGACTCTGTAATTTGTTATACGCCCAATTTATTCTTCCATCAAAATTTAATTTTTGTAATTATTTTCTATCAATGGGATTGGATCCATTTGTGGATGGATATTATTACTATGTGTGTAACCGAAATTTATTTGAGAGATTTAATATGAGAATTTAGATCCAAATTATATAAAATAAAAATAAAAATTAGATCTTAATGAAAATGAAAATCAAGTTCTTCCACTTTTTTTTTTGTTGTCGTTTGGAGAGAAACACGAAAAGAATTTATGTTTCCTACTTCTCAGAGGGGACGATATGAAGAAACAGAGGGAAGAAACTCTACACGTTTGAATTAGTCAAAGTTGATCAACTAGTAGTGTGCAGTTGTATAGACATCACTTTAGTTAATGTGGTCAACTTTTGTTTAATTAACTTTTAATTAAAGCACCTTAATCCACAAAGTTGTTAAAGTTCACCTTCCCACTCCTATTCATGCCTTAAAGTTTAAGAAACTATTGTGTGCAGTTGCCGTATATGACATTACATTTACTTTGGTAGGATCATTGTGGGATGGGTGGAACCAAAACACAGGGCTTTCACTGTTGTGCGAGCGTGGTTGAACACTCCGTGCTGTTCGATGGGGCATACACAATAATTTCTCTTAAAACCAGGCACAGTGTGGTCCAACCAGGTTCATGGTCATAACATGCTCTTAAATCGAGCTTTTCGGTGGGCAAAATATGCAAGATTTACACCAAATAAGTGAGCTTTTTGTTGACCATGCTAGTTAACCGAGAAAACGATTTGGTGCGATCAATGAGCATAGAGGCTAAACGCTAGTACGGTTGTAGAGGCAATTTTTGAGATGGACGAAATAATGATCTACAAAATAAAACACAAAGGAGATGCCTAACAAAAAGCAAGGGAGTCATTATAGCAATGGTTTGACATAGATGATGAAACCGAGAGAGAGGTCGTGTAGATCAATGATCATTGTAGGGGACTTTTTCCTCCAGCAGTTGCAAATGGGCTGGGCTACTGTAAAAGGGCAAACTGATGAAATTGTCCCCTTTGCCTAAGTTAGAAAATTAGGCCCCAAAATACCTCGAAAGGGCAGTAGAGCCTTAAGAATTATTTCGGTTATCTTCACCAACTAAAATAATGGCAGCTTACAGGTAATTTCTTAATGCTTACAGATAAACTCTCAAGCTCAGCGTGAGTGGCATGTGGCATGGGAGCAAAATCAACATGAGTTTAGCACTAAGAGAAAATTTAGGCTTGCTTTGAGGGAAAAGGAAGTGTTAGGGTAAGGAATGAGAAGTTTTGTAAGAGATTTGGCTAGGAATGGGAAAATGAAGAGTAGAGTTCTTCCGGCAGCTGCCAGAAGAGCAAAACGAAGAAGAAGATGAACAGTGCACGAGATTGCTGGGTTTTTGTAAGTTAGAGAGAAAGCTTGCTCTCTGGGTATGAGTTATGGCTAATGGTGAAGTATTTGGTGGTTTGGGTAAGTTTTCAGCAGCCTGACAAAAGCTATGTCAGACTCTAGAATGACATGGCAGAATAGAAAGTGGGAGGAGATGGAGGATTAGGGCACAAAATTGCAGAGATTTCATGGTGAGAGATGAAGCTTGCTCTCTAGATGTGGGTTGCCTCCGTTGGGTAGAAAAGGCCTCAATTTATAGCCGCTGGAAGTTGACATTTTCCAAGAAACACTAATGGTTTCCTTCCCATTTTGTCAAGTCTTTCCCTTCCTTTCTCCATTCATCCATTCAATCATCATTTTTTGGTGAAATCTTCTCTGCCCATTTGCACAAAATCAGGGATTTTTTTGGAGCTCAATGCCCCTTTTCCCGCAGCTGTTTCAGATTCCGATTTTCAGTCATCCTTCTTCCTTCTTTTCTCTCATCTTCCAAGGCTAGGTCTGATGAGGGAATGAATTGAATATACATGCTGGTTCAAAGGGTGCTTCTGACAGCTCGCAGGCTAATATTCTTTGGTACTTTGAATGTTTCTTGCTTGGAATCTGCTTTCTCCATGTGCTGGAACCTCCAGCAGCATTGTTTAATGAACCTCCAGACCTTCCCTTCGTGGCTTTTGTTCCTTCAGCTAGGTGCTGGTGCCTTTGTAGCTCATTATGGTAGTTGTATGGGCCAAGATGGTTTATCAAGTAAGTGAGCTATTTAAAATGTTTGGGCTTTTTGGTTAAGTCAATAGGCTATTTTGATTGGGCTTATTTTTGGTTAGGTTATTTTGCTTGGGCTATTGGGCTGCTTTTCTCTCTTGTGCTCACCCACATGTTTGGGCCTAAGAAATGGGCTTGAGTCTCGAGGCTCCCAAGCAACCCGAAACTTTCCATTTCTCAGCCCATTAATGGGCTTCATGTTGATTTATTACCATCCATACCACAACCCACTCAAGCAAGCCCCGGGCATTCGAGTGGCTTGGGCCCACTTAGACTTGTAGCGTGGTTGGGTGTGTAATAATGATTTCCTACTTGGCATGACATGTCGCTTGGCATGGCATATCGCTTAGCATGCTTTCAATTATTATGCATGACGGGATAATTAGCATGGATTTGCAAAGATAATGCGTTTTATAATATTAATCTCGATTCCTAATATAACGAATTATTTATTTGGCATGGCGCGTGTGGTGTGACTCGCATATGACGAGCCTTTGCGTACTCAGATATGTGACTTTTCTTAATATAGTAGCGTATTTGACCGAAAACTTATTTGAGCCCAACCGTGGACTTTTTTGGGCCTCAACAATCATAAGATAATATATGGATGTGGAAGATATGCTACGATGAATACCAATGTAAACATTTTCCGAAGGTACATGAGATGCATGTCAAAAAGTGTGGACACAATGAATAAACAATAAAATTTTGGGTGAAAACTTGAACTAGATGAACACGAAACAACATAAATGTAAAAGAACCAAATGGTATTATTCAAAATATATTGCTGAGTTTGAGTCCCCCGCCCAATAGATTAAATTAATTTAAAGTAATTTAGACTATTACTTGTATTAGAAAAAATAATAATATATCATCGTCTTTAAAAAAAAAAGAAATTGAAAATTAAATGACAAATACCTAAAGTGGGCTAGAAAAGAAAGGCTGAAGCCCAACTTTGGAGTGGACTCATATGTAACAAGTCCAACACCACCTCAAAATCCAAGCTCAATTTTCTAGCCTTAGCCCCAAGGCCTAATTAGTTGTAAAAAAAGTGTGACACATTCCCATTTAGGAAAGCCCAATTAAGTTATAAATAAGACGTTTTAGTGCCTAATCCAGAAATAATTAGCTTATTATTTCATTGATTGAAGTAAGTTTAAATCTAAGTAGCCAAGTGGCATGTGGCAAGAGATTGGGTCAGGGGAGCCAAATTCATTAGCTTAGCATTTGCCCCTCTTTGTCTTTGGTATATCCCTCTATATAAATCCCAAGAGCCATTAATGATTTTTTTTTCTCTGTCAGAGGCCTCTTCTCTCTCTCTCTCTCTCTCTCGCTCTCTTCCCTTCTCTTTCATTTCTATTGAGGCCCTTGCTCGAACCCTAACCTCAAATTTCTCGGCAAGACACCGACTTTCTCGGAAAATCACCGAGGAAATGCAGCACCAGAGGCTGAAGCAGCAGCAGCAACAAGCTCTGATGCAACAGGCTCTTCTTCAGCAGCATTCTCTTTACCACCCTGGCCTATTAGCTCCCCCTCAGGTTCGAGCTTTCTCTCTTCTTCATTTCTTTTCCTGTGACTTTGATTCTGTTTCTGGGTTCGAGTTTTGCTTGGATTTTGGTGTTGATCTTCGAGCTCCGGTTGTCTTTCTATGTGATTGCATTATGGAAGCTAGCGACCTAGGGTTAAGTTCTCTTCTTTCTTGTTTTGGAAGTACCTGATTTCCAAGCTTGGATTTTTTTATGGTTTTTGTTGTGCGAACGTTCTAAATTTGATTGTTTCTCGATAGTGGAAATTGAGCTAGGGTGTTGAGTTTGAGTTTATTTTTTGAATTTTCTCTTCTCCGTGTTATGTTTTGGAGCTAAGCGGAGCTCGAGTGTTGGGGTCAAATGATTCATGTTTAATTAGATTAATCATTTTTTGAAAACTTTTTCGGAATTCAAATATGGAGAAGCATTATAGGCATCTGGGTAACTTTCTCATCATTATGTCGTAGTGAAATGGCAATAAAAATATCGTACTGATTTATCTATTCTGAACACTGGGTTTTTTGAATTGTTTCGAAGTATGTTGTTCCTGATGATTTTGAAGGCTCCAGTAAGTTGCAGGAAAGAGTTTCAAATATAGAAGTAAACCAAATGCTCATTTTGACCTATCTTAGAATTTTGATTAACTGCGTAGGGTTGCCCTTTTTTACGTTAACTTTAGTTTTCCTGCCAACCGTGTTTTTGTCTTGCATAATCATTCTTTTTCACGGCGGAGCACTAGTGTTTTAAATTGTCCTTGTTAGTTTCTCGTGCAAGTACCTATTTAAGTGGATTCTGCTTTCAGGTTGAAGTACTCCTGACTTGGTTGATAAAGAAGTAGGGGATTTTAGTTTATTTTGATTTAGGTTTCTTTTATTTCGCTTGTATTTTTTAGGTTTCTTTATTTTCTTTTCTTTTTCATATTTTTATTTTGCAGATAGAGCCAATCCCAAGTGGAAATCTGCCTCCTGGTTTTGATCCAAGTACTTGCCGCAGTGTGTGAGTGTTTTGTCTAGACAATTTTTTTCTTTTCATCTTGTGTTTTTCTTTGTTTCACCTCTATGCTTATGTAACTGTTATAGTTCTCTGTAGTTTTCATAACCTTAATCAATACTTCATTGAATAATTGATTTTTATCATAGTTTTGTTTCTTTCATTGTTGCTCTTCACTTACCCCATGCTATCTTCCTAAAGTATTTTAAATTTTCAACTATCTTAAATTATGCACCTTTATTGCAGCTTTACCCATTCCCTGGCCATGCTCTCTGTCCAAAAATATCAATATGATGTTAACTGTGTGTTACTTGCGTTATATTTTTGTCTTTTATGATCGAGAGTAATTGCTTATGGATTAATTTAATTTCTTTCTTCTCTTCTGGTTTTAAAACTTCCAGTTTCTTTATTTTTGAGAAATTTCAGGTATGTGGGGAACATACATACCCAGGTGACTGAACCACTTCTTCAAGAGGTTTTTGCAAGTACCGGTGCTGTTGAAAGCTGCAAGCTTATAAGAAAGGAAAAGGTAAGTTTGCAATGGTCCACATAGCCGCCCTTGGTGTTCATTTGAACTGTTTTGCTGTTCACCAAAGAAGTCTACTTGGTGGCTATTGAAAATTTCTTGAATAAATTTGTTTACTATGAGCCTGACTCAAATTTACCAGCTGACGATCATTTTTGTTTTTTCTGCCTTTTGCAGTCATCGTATGGGTTCATTCACTATTTTGATCGCAGATCAGCTGCCCTTGCAATATTGTCTCTCAATGGCAGACATCTGTAAGTACAAATCTTAATTACTCTCCTGGTTATTTTGTTTGTAATGATTGTCTCTAAAATTTTGATATGTGATTTCAAGGTTTGGGCAGCCTATCAAAGTAAATTGGGCATATGCTAGTGGTCAAAGGGAGGATACATCAGGTTAGTTCAAGTTTTTTCTTTCCCGGAACTAATTTTGATGTAGGTTTCGCATTTATCAGCTAGGTTAGTTTTGATATTGTCTTTTTGATGTGCAGGCCATTTCAACATTTTTGTTGGTGATCTAAGCCCTGAGGTTACTGATGCTACGTTATTTGCATGCTTTTCTGTTTATCCCAGTTGTTCGTAAGTGTCTTCTCGGACACCCATTTTCTTAATTTTATCACTTTTTATAGGACATCTGATGGCCAATAGTTAGAACTCCTGGAACTTTTAGGTCATCCGTTAACATTCATTAAGCTTACCTTGTAATCCAGTGTGTTTATGACGTATCTAATTTGATTATTTTGTTGGTGTTAGAGATGCAAGGGTTATGTGGGATCAGAAGACAGGGCGTTCAAGAGGCTTTGGGTTTGTCTCATTCCGAAACCAACAGGTAGTATGTTCTTTACTTTTGGTATCTTTTGGAATGCATGGGATCTTGAATTCTTTTTTGTTAATAATCTATTCTGAGTCTGAATGGTAGTTCTGATGGACTGGTAACTGAATGCAAGGGATTAGGATGAGAGAAATTAGGTAACGGCTTTGATATAATGACATCAAATTTCAAATTTTCTTTTAAAGAGTCAATAACGCGTTAGCCAAAACCCAGCCTCTGCATTTATTTAATTGTGTAGATTTGTGCTTAAATTGATTCTCATCATACTTCCATTTTCTCTTTCAGGATGCTCAAAGTGCGATAAATGACTTAACTGGTAAGGACGATGTTCTTCCTTCTTTAAAAATTATTTTAAAAATGCATAGATGCTGAGTACGCGGTTATGGCTTCCTCTCTTGTATTGCTTCTCGCCGTACTTTGAACTTTTTTTTGGATGTGATGCCAGGTAAGTGGCTTGGAAGTAGACAGATACGTTGCAACTGGGCAACAAAAGGTGCTGGTTCCAATGAGGATAAGCAGAGTTCAGATGCTAAAAGTGTTGTGGAACTTACAAATGGCTCATCAGGTGAGCCCACCGTGGTCATTTTTTATGTCAAAGGGAAAATAATTTGGTTTTGTTAGTTTCAAATTTATTATGTGAAAGGATAGAGCCCTCTCCCTGTGACAGACTCATATTCAGTTTTGATTGTGCAGAAGATGGAAAAGAGACGACTAACAGTGAGGCTCCGGAGAACAACCCTCAATATACTACTGTTTATGTGGGCAATCTTGCACCAGAGGCAAGAAATTTTCTTATCTATTATATCTCTTTACTCTCTCTCTCTCTCTCTCTCTCTCTCTCTCTCTCTCTCTCTCTTTCTGTGTAACATGTGCACACACTCAGATACACACATATACTTACCTGCACTGTCACACATTAATTTCTGCCATCCTTAGATGAATTTTTTTACTTTTAACTGCTTTTCAACTTGAGTTGGCGCTTTTTAGTTTCTTGAAAGAGGAAATGATTTAGAGAACTAAATGAATATCTTCAGTACTTGTAGATCCTAGAAATTCCACTGTTATTAGTTTATTTGAAAACCTGTTAAATTGGTATTTTCATTACAGGTCACTCAGCTTGATCTTCATCGGCATTTTCATGCTCTTGGTGTTGGAGTGATCGAGGAGGTTCGGCTCCAGCGTGACAAGGGCTTTGGTTTTGTGAGATTCAGTACCCATGCTGAGGCAGCTCTGGCTATTCAAATGGGAAATACTCAGTCCATTTTGTGTGGTAGACAAATAAAGGTGTGGTTCTCTGCTTATTATTAGAGTTATGAATTTCAGGAAGTTAGAAATAGTAGAGGACTAGGGCGGTCAATCATACTGGGTTATCTCTCTCTTAGTGATGCATGTATGTTGTCCGAGTGTTTCTACTTTTTGTCTGTACATTGATCGTTGAACTCATATTATTTTTGTGCATGTAGTGCTCTTGGGGTAGCAAGCCTACTCCACCAGGGACAATTTCAAACCCACTCCCTCCACCAGCAGCAGCAGCACCTTTACCAGGCCTCTCTGCAACAGACCTCTTGGCCTATGAACGGCAACTTGCTATGAGCAAGATGGGTGGTGTCCATGCTCTCATGCACCCCCAGGGGCAGCATCCCCTTAAGCAGGCAGCAATGGGAATGGGCACTGCTGGAGCGAGCCAAGCTATATACGATGGCGGATTCCAGAATGTTGCTGCTGCCCAGCAGCTCATGTACTACCAGTAATAATACATAAGAGTTCTGTTAAATGGTACAACCTACATATATATATTTCCTGCCACTATGCAGGTGTTATCTGAGTTATAAACCCCTTAGGAAGCGTTTTATTATTTCCGCCCCTTGAGCGGTGAGCTTGTTACCCTGCCTTATGTGCTTGCTGTCTCTGGATATGTAACATGTATGATCTCTGTTTTCTAATGTGTTATGATGAGTGGTTATTATCATTAGAGGGAGTTGGCTTTTTCAAATTTGTTTTCAGTTCTTCCCCCTTTTATTTATTTATTCTGCTTTTGTTGTCATTTTAGCTGTTATTGTTTTTGTAATGGTAAAACCCACCTTTGTTTAAGCTATCAGCAATAGCTGAAGGTATGATTGATACATGGAAGTCAGTATACAATTTCACTCATTCTCATATCTGGAAGCTACAATTCGAAGTAACTTAGACTTCTCTTTGACATAGCTCCTTGAAAGTTGAAACATTAGAGGTAAAGGCACGAATGGAGGTACAAGTTGTGATTGGACAATTAAGACCCACTGATCTGTAATTCATTTTCTTGGACGAATTAAAAATGGAACATCTATGTTCTTCTACAATCTAAAGTGACACTGACAGACAAGGTTGGAAAGAGTAGACGGATTAACAAGGCATTATGCATCAAACTACTTCTAGCACAAAAAATGAAACAAAATGATCCGGGATCCGCAGGCTACATCTAACTCTGTAATCCATAGAGACCAAACTTCTGGGTCATGAAGCTGATTCAGTCAGATTCCAACCTTGCAATATAATTGTCATAGAACTTCCCTGCCTGCTCCAGATCTCCGAGCTCGGTATAACAATCAGCAATTGCTCCATAAGCTTCTGTGTTTCCTGAGTCTTCTCCTTCTCGCTCGGAGATTGCCAAAACCATAGAATGGTATTTAATGGCTTCTCGGTACTTGCCCAGTCTTTGCAGCGAGGCACCTACGAGATGCAAATTGCATTAAAAAGAATAGAATTAGAAAAGAATTTCAAAATAGAAAAATACCCAAACCAACATAATTTAAGACAAGTACAATTGCAAACTGTTCAACATCATTCACATTGCCACCTGAAGCTAAGAAATGAGGCTCACAGAGACAAAAGTAGTTGGTAAGCAAATGAACAAAAAAGTGAATCTGTGCACAATGTATGCTCAGTCTCAATTAGATAGAGAACATGAACAGTTGCATCTAGTTTTTCTTATTTGTTGTCTAAACAAAGTTGCAAAAGAATTTCACCTGCCAGTGAATGAGACATTCAGTGTCAATGTAGTTTATATTACAAACGACACAATAACATGACTTAACTGATGCAAAAAAGAAACAGAAAATGTTTGTTCCCAAGATACGGGCACTCCAATTTTGCTACTTCTCTTTAGTACTTCTTATTCATATTTGAACTGCTGCAATAATATTATATGTGAAAACAGGAAAGTAATGAACAAGAGTAACGGAAACGAACCTAAACCTCTTGCAGCCTTCTTTTCCTCAATTGGGTCCTTCACACTTCGAGCAAGCTCAAGAGCTGTCTTAAACTCGCCCAGTGCTTTTTCTGTTTCTTGATTCCTCAAAAAGTTCTTCCCAGCCTTCAATCGAGAAATCAACTCATGCTTTCTTGGATCAACTATCACCTCATTCTCTGGTAGTACTTTTGCACCAATAGGTGAATAACTCAAAGACGGAGCATATGACTCAATCTTAGCCTGCCTTCTTAGAGACTGATTGATTTGACGCAACTGTTCATTCACTCGCTGTAATTCTCCTTTCCTTTGCCGAGCAAGCAAGCCTATCATAGAAGCAATAAACTATCAACAAACTACTCAAAATGGCTATAAGGAATACACTTAATACAGTCTGTTGAAAAAAGAAATGCAATAGAACTGCTTAAAACGTGTTCATAAGCAAAGCCCTTAAATCCTATGGAACAGCATTAATGCTGATTTGATTATAAACCCAGTAATATCTTACCACCAACAGTGGCCCCTACGAGGGCTACAAACAGCAGTACAGGCATGTTCATGTTGAAAACAGAGTTTTCAGCTTCACATGTTTCTGCTAAGGCCTTCAAAGGTGTTGTCAGTATTAAGGCATTACCAATCAAAAGTTCCATTGCTGGGAATCTCAACTGTATGTCTCCCTGCCGAAGTGATAGTTTCCACAGGAGTGGAAAAAAAATTGTTAAATAGGGATCATCAGATCATAATAGATGCGAAGGGTTTAGGGTAACAAAAAATAGGAATTGGAGCACATGCATCTTCATGATATTAGACAAACTCAAATATCTTTTTATTCCCTCATAATGATGCATCTGTCAAAAGATGAAAATCAACCAACAGGGGGATTTAAGATACTTGAACGGAGCACCAGAATGCAATACTCATCAGGTTTCTACATAAACCTTCGAATTAAATACAAATGATGTTGTCATCTATAGATTGGCTTCATAAAAGGGTGTAACATATATTTTCCTCTTGTAATACTTTATCTATAGACTGGCTTTACACAAGTCACAAAGCAGGCCAGTTGACGGTGACAAATATGAAAAACCCCAATCTCCCAAAAATAAATATACAAATAAAGCACAAAAAGCTGGTACAGGAACTCACCATCATACCTGACATTTTTTGTTTGGCAACACATGGTGGATCTCAAACAGTCCATCTAAAGTATTCCCAAATGCTGACCTAAGCTTTTCGGCTTGAAATGGAAGAGAAGGTAACTTCCCAGGTTCTTACAATGAAAAAAACTTCCATGTCAATATGCAGACCAGCTTCAATTCAAGTGTACCAACTCATTTTTGCAACAAACAATGTACTAAGTTACTGCCCAAGAACATTGACAAGAAAAATCCCATAATGCAGTAGCTTTAAATCCTCACATTCCACTCACACCTTTGACCATGCCAAGCTTATTTATTCATTTCAATCTAGGAAGAAAAACTAAAAAGAGGGAAAATTTTCAATTATGAAGTCACCTATATCTGAGAATTCTAAGTCAACAACATCCCATTTTCTTTCCTTAACTTTCTGAGTAACCAAACAGGAGCCCAAGTTAAAATTCCCCCGGAAAACTCAAGGTCACTAAATCGGCACCTAAAAGAAAGAACTTTAAGAAGTCATTACTAACCGGGAAGACTGGACTTGACGGAGATTTGATCGGACAGTGGAGATCGGCCGGAGTTCTTCGGGTGAGTAAATAAGCAGCAGGAGAAACGGGCTACCACCGCCATTGCTTCGGATAAACGTTGGTGGCGTTACTGTGGGCTTTTAGATAAGCAGAATCTTTGTCAACTATAAAATAACTTTATTTCATAAATAACATTGGTGCCTCTGGTCATCCGACACGAGCAGAAGGATTGTATTTTGGATATTGATAATGGATAACTTTCTTCCTTACTATTTAATTTTTAATTTTATTAATAATAATAAATATGTTGCATAAATATATTGATATATTCTATTTTTCACCGTGCATTTTAAGAGTGGATTTCAACCCATCAAAATGAAAACCCTTAGACCAAGTCGATCTTCTTATTCTAATTTTCATATGTATTTTGAATTTAGCCTCTTCTTAAACACGTGACATTTCTTATTGAATTTAATCTCTTAAAAAAAGATGTTACATGTTTAATAATTGGTTAAATATGTTATTGAACAACATACCTCTTTTATTATTTTTTTTGGGACAAATCATAGAATACATGTTTAACACAATCCAAATCTGACACGACAAGTTTATTAAATTGGTCGAATTTGGTTTGAACATTCTTGACACATTTATTAGTATGACATAACACATCTCAATACCAACCCTAGTTCTCATACATAAAATATCAATTACACCCTCATCATGCCATTAGCTATTAAAACAAATAAATAATTATTTCTTTTTTCTTTAGTTGCCAAATTACACAAATCCTCTGTGGTATGAATCATATGCCAATGTCCCTTAAAGTTCTTAATAATATCCTTGTGGTTAAGCAAGTTACCAATATCCAATTTAAATCAAACTTTTCACCTCAATTTTGTTCAATTTTACTCATGTAGAGCCATGTATGATGGTGCAAATGGAAATTTAAGGCATTGGAGTCTGTTTGACACTTCTTGAAAGGACTTTTTCATAGTTCACCTTATGATATCGAGTAAAACTTCTAAGACAAATAGAGAGAAAAAGATGAAATATGAGATACGTAAGTTTTTCTCCATACAACCAAATGAACCAAGGGCTTTAATTTTTTTTTTTTTTTTTTTTTTTTGTTTTTAATAATAATTTTTTTTTCTTAGAGCTAGAGAGTGGGCACACTGATTTGAATTGGCCTAACTCAGATTTAACCATACCTTCAATTTCTTAAAATAAAAAATAAAAAAATTAAACGGCATAAGTTGGGCTATTACTTGCTGGTGGACCTGCAATTTGTTTAGGCCAAGAGTGGGCTTGCAATTTAATTGGTGCTATTTGGTAATTTGCTGGGCTCATACCCAATAAGCAACATTGCGCTGGAAAAGAGAACCCCAACAACACGTCGTCTTATGCAATTCCCAACAGTTTTTGTCTGACCCGCACTTTTGCATCTCGAATCCTTCGTTTGGATGAAGAAAAATAACTTGAAATTTGGTAAAAGTTGGGAATTTAAATGGTAAAATTGATAATTTCTTTGTTTGACAACTTAAACATGTAAATTATTAAATGATGTGGGAAAAAAAATCGTAAAATTAGGGCATGAGATCTAAATTGCCAGAAATTTAAATGACGGAGATGTAAATTATGTTATTTTAGAATTCTGTGTAATTTTCAATTCCTTCGTCCAAACATAGGGTTAGGGTATATTTCAAAGTAGTACGTAATCTACAAACTCATAGACAAACTAACAGAAAACCTATATGCAAACTGAAGCTTCATATATGCGATTTTTACATAAAATAATGGTGCATTATAATGTGTGAGCAAGCTGCCATTTGCTGCAGACTTTTACATGAATTAATCCACAGTAGCCTCGTATATCTTTTCATATATTTAATTAAAAACATATAAACCTGCTGCTGTTTTGGAATAAAAAAACCATTAAACTGCTATTTGCTGCAGATTTTTACATCAAAACATTATCCCCAGCAGCTTCATATCTCTAATAAAAACATATAAACCATCAGCTCTTTTCTAATCAAAAGCAATCAACACAATTGCCCAAAAAAACATATTTTTACATTAAAACATAATCCCCAGCAGCTTCATATCTCTAATAAAATAAAAACATATAAACCACCTTCCCTTTTCTAATCAAAAGCAGTAAACCAGTTTCCCTTTTCAGGGGGGAAACTGAGACTGAAATTGACTTACATGGGGTATTTCAATAATTTAGCCTTAAAAATTTCACACATACCCAACAACAAAGTAACAAACGTCTCTTTAGGACAGCTACAAAGCTGATAGATTCGCTTTGAAACCCCGTTATGCGGGTCTTGGGATCAAAAGAACTCTACTCAAACTGGTTCTTGAGCTTTTAATTTGTACCACTATCAATTTGCAACAATTGCACATAAAAGCAGTTGATAGGTTTGAATTCAGAAGCTGAAACCCATAATTTATCTTCCATGTCAAGATTCCATATAACTTTGACTACTTGTCTGACGTATCCATTGCAAATTGATCAAAGTAGCTGGAAAATTAGTTCACAAGCTTTTTTTCAGTACTGACCAGCACATCCCGAAACAAGAAGCAAATTGAAACCAACAGTGATACATGATGAAGTTATGATTCCAAATTACCCCTAATGCGGGAAGCAAGTCTTTGCACATATTGATCATCAAAAGAATTATCAATCTCCTTAATCTTTGAGAGAAAGTCCATGGCTTCTTTATACTTTCTTGCTTTACAATAACCATCCACTGCAATCTTGTAGCTTAGCTCATTGGGCTTGCAATTGTTCTGAGTCATATAGCTAATCACTTCATCTATTTCTGAGAACATTCCCTGCCCTGCATAGCCTGTGATAAAAGTATTGTAGGTAAAGATACACGGCCGAATCCCTCTGGCTGTCATCTCGGAGAGAATTCTTATGGCCTCCTGCATGTGCCCTTGCCTGCAAAACCCTTTAATGACAGTGTTATAAGAGACTAGGTCTGGTTTCCCACCAGATTTTTGTAGGGCCATAAGTATTTCTTCTGCTTTCCAACACTCTCCCTTTCTGGCATACATGTCCATCAAGCTATTGTAGGTTACAAGATCTGGCTGAAGGCCGTTTTCACGAATCATGTACAACATGTCATTCGCCCGGTCATACATGTTGTTTCTAGCAAAAATTGAAAGCATCGAATTGTATAGAACCAAGTCAGGTTTGTATCCATTGCTCTGCAATTTCTGGAATGCCCTCTCCATACCCTTCAGTGCTCTACACTTGAAGTTTGCAAGAACAAGAGTTCTTAAAAGAACCCAGCTAGGAAAAATATGACCATCATAAATTTCTCTCTCAATTCTCTCTATCCCCTTCACATTCGCTCCCTTAGCATAGCAGTTGATCATCAATGAATATGAGGTTTCATTAGGCTTGAAGCCCTTACTTCTCATGTCTACAACAACAGATTCTGCTGCTTTCCAGTCCCCTCGCCGAGCCAGAGCATTTAGAAGTGCATTGTAAGTTGTAACGCATGGAGTAAATCCTGCTTTGATCATCTCATCGTACATCTGTGCAGCATCTATTTCCGACCCACACCGTCCATATGCACTGATCAAGGTATTAAATGTGTCCCTGTCAGGCTCAAAACCACAATTCTTCATTTCTCGAAATACCCGATTCACATACTTGTGCCTACCCTTATCACCACACATGGCAAGCATTGTGTTCCAGGTAATACGGTTGGGGGCGCATCCACTTGCCTTCATATCACAAAGCAGCATTATCATCTCCTCTGGTCGTGATTTTTTTCCGAGCATTCCAAGGATAGCATTGTAGGTACAAACATTAGGAACACAGCCTGTCGCCTTCATATGGTTGAACAACCTTAGAGCCTCTTCCTCCTTTCCAGCTTTACCATATGCATTTATCACAGTCGTGTATGTAACAGCATTTGGCATTGTTCCTTTTTGGGTCATGGTTTCTAGGACAGATGCACCTTCCTCAGAGAATCCTGCCCTCACATAAGCTGCCACAAGCTCATTGTAAGTAACAGCATCAGGTGGGCAATTGTTGTCCTCCATTTCTTTTAATATACTCAAGGCCTCTGTAAATACCCCCGCCTTGCCGAAAACTTGTAACAAAGCATTGTAGGTAACAGTTCCTGGTACATAGCCTTGTGACTTTAATCCAGCAAAGAAACTCTTTTGCCTCATTCAACAACCCCTCTCTTCCACAAGCAGATATCACCGTACTACAAGTAAACTCATCAAATTCAAATCCTTTGCTCCTCATCTCCTCCAAGAGGCCTAAAATTTTATTCCAAGATCGACCCATCTTCCCATAAACATCAAGCATGACATTGTATGTGACCAAAGTTGGTGAGAGACCAATCTCCACCATTTTGTTAAACAGGTCAATTGCACGTTCATACTTGCCAGTACGAGAATGAGCGTGAATGATAGTCGTGTAAGCTCGAACATCTAATGAGTATTTCTCTATAGGAATCACATCAAACAATTTTGATGCAATCGTATGCTGTGACTCTCTACCAAGAATTCTAACCATTAGTTCAATCATCGGATTATTTAATTTCAAATTTTCTGTGCTTAAGTTGGACAGAATCCATTCGAACAACAAAAGGGCTCTTTCCCAATTGCCGGAGAGGTCCAATGCTTTCAAGAGACTAATCAAATCAACTTCAAACAACTCAAACTTAGCAGAATCAAAGAAATCATTCAAACTATGCAAAGGCTGCTCTACAATGGAACTGAACATCAACTTACCCTTTATTGTCAAAAAGTCAAGAAGCCCATCTTCTGGTTTCACCTCTACTTTATCGTCCTCAAAATTTGGGACCAAAATTGAAGCGGGTTTCTTCAGTTGATGATGCTGTTTTGGGGTTGAATCAACTGAAATTTGAAGAGAAGGGAAATTGCCATTGGTTTGATGAGGTGGGTTTAAAGGTTTGAGCTTGGGGCGAGTGTTGGGTGGTGAAGAGAGGCTCAGAAGGTGCTGGAGAAGGGAGTCAATAGGAAATGGAGGAGATGGAGTCTGAGGAGGGGGTGGCAATGTTGTTGAATTGAATTTCACAGGAGGGCTTGGTTGTATTGGTCTGTTTGTTGGAAGGGGATATGCTGGTCTGGATGGAAAGAAAGTACCTTCCATTATAAAGATAATTGGAGTTAAAGGGTTTTGCTACAATGGATGAGCAGAGAAGCTCTATTGGTTGACAAGTGAGAAAATAAGCAGAGAAGATTGGATTTGGATATAGCAGCGGTAGATGGAGAGAGCATTTTGGCATGGGTTTTGATTTTGTGACTTGGATGAGAGACAGACAGAGACAGAGAGATCATTGGTCTCTATTGAAGGAAGATGATATTGGGCAAAAGATTGGGTTTATGAATAACTGAGTTTCTTTCAAGGGTATCTTTGTCTCTTTGCTATATTTGAAAGTCTTTTTGGCCATATATACATAGGGCCTCCATATATATATATGATAATTCTCTTCGGTCTTTCATGTCTCGGTCTGTCTCTGAAGCAGACGAAGGGTTTTAATTAAACCCTCACTGCACTTCGGCTTCCCGCGCTCTGAGCTCCTCTTGGGTTTAAGTGAGAACCAGCTACCTAGAAGCCACTGGAAAACCCTAGGGTTTTGAGGACAGCGTCGTTTTGGTGGCAATAGACGTCGAAATGGATACTTCTCCAAGCTTCTTCGACCCTGAAGACCTCTCAACCAGAGAGAAATTTCGTCGATACGGGTTCGAATCCAAGATTTCCAATTTAGCTCAAGATACTGTTGTTTTGGGTGATTTGGTTTTGGCTGGGTGAAGCTTGATTAATAAATGGACTTTTTAGTCTTATTGTGCCATTTTAATGGAAACTTATCTACTTTTGATTGGTAAATATTGGTTCAAGCATTAGGGTTATGATTTCAGACTGTAAAGGCTCAGAATTGAATTAGGCATGATGTGTGTGTATTTTGCAATTAATGTTCAAAATTGTGCTTCAAATGCCCCTAGAGAGCTCCACTCTGTTTTATCTTTTCCTTTTCCCTTTTGCACTCTTCATAGTATCCTCCTTTATGGTTTACTGAAAAATCTGGGTATTGTTCCTACTGGTTTTCCATTTTATATGTTTGAAGTGAACCCCTTCAGGTGTTTTTGGAACTGTAAGTAAGTGTGACATTTATTTTTGCTTTAATGTAATGCCAGGAAAAGGCACTTGGGTTCAAACATATCTCCGCACCAAGAGAATTCAGCTTCAAAATTTAGTGAATCTAGGCTACTCTATGATGGCCAGAGTATACATAGCCCGGCCAATGCTGCACTTCTTCTAGAAAATATTAAGCAAGAGGTTGAAAGCATTGATCCTTATCACTTGGAAGGAACTCCTGGAAAGACTCCTGTCTCAAAAAGGAGGTCGCCCATTGATGGGACAGAGGTGGATGTTGGTGCCGGTTCTGGTTTAGTCCACCGTTCAATAAAATTGCTCAAGCAGGAGGAGGACTCACTGGCTGATGATGGAGATACAACCTTTGCTTTATTTGCTTCTCTACTTGATTCTGCTCTTCAAGGTGTTTGAACTAGACATACCTAAATAATGTTGTACTCGAAATTCAGATTTCTATTTATTATATTTTTTCCCTCCATTTTCAACATTTCCTTTGAGAGTGTTTCTGATCTCAAGCTTCTTCTCATTGTTATAAATTGTATCAAAGTTTCCTAATGAGCAGCTTGATGTAGCATTTAATTGCATCATTGGTGATATGCAGGGTTGATGTCTTTTCCTGACTTGATACTAAGGTTTGAAGGATCCTGCCGAGACGTTTCAGAGTCAATTAGGTATGCTCCTTGTTATTGAGAACACTTGTAAGCTGGTATAGAAGCTGTTAGTATTGCAGATACACATAAATGAACCATTGGGTTTTTTCTACAGGTATGGTTCCAACATACGGCATCGTATAGTAGAGGACAAGTTGATGAGGCAGAAGGCTCAGCTCCTTCTCGATGAGGCTGCTTCATGGTCGCTCCTGTGGTACCTTTTTGGGAAAGGAAATCTATCGCTAACCTCTGAACTTCTTATGCTAGAACTGATTTCCTTCACACAACCACATATAGATGTTCACACAAATACATGTAATGTAATTAGGTTATAAGGATGCTGTAATCCAGGTGAATTTAATAATAAAGTTATCTCAGATGTCTTATATTTTGCTAGTACAAATCTTCTGATGATAATGAAATAGTATTTGAATAATGATTGAATTTGATGAGGCGTAATTTCTCTGATTTAATGCAGAAGGGGTGAGGATTATCTCCTGTTCCAAAATGTTACAATTTAACATGCATGCTTATAAACATTCGTGTATTATGTGAACACTGCACTTTAAGTCCATCTTCCATAACATTGTTAGATGGATTTCAGTTCTTGGACTCTCCAATCCTGTTTTTTAATGCTTTGTAGATTTGGTGTCCAAATGGAAATACGAATACACGTCTGTAAATGTGAAAAAAAAAAAAAAAAAAAAAAATACTAACTTGCCATACCTTATGATACCTGTATTCTAATAATTTGCAATTGCAGGCAATCCGACAAGATTTAATATTTTATCTTTGCATATTCTAATCTATTAATCTCTTCTAAAAGTTTACCATCTTCTAGGAAAGAAAACTGTTTGTAGATATAACTAGGTAAATGTTTTGGTTATTTTATAGGTTTATTCAGCTATATTCTGAGTTATGTTTATTTTCTAGTTGGTGTAAAGAATAATCTCGTGTTCCCTTTGGGTTACTAACATTTGCTTTTGGCTGTGAGTCTTACACTTATGAGCTCTGGGTTTTAGTGTGACAGTTAATCTTCTTCTTGCAGGGACTGAAGAGATTCCTAAAGAGCTCATCCTGGTAAGGCATTTTCCTTGTCATTAGTTGTTTGATTGGAAAACATATGAATTCCTTTATTTATTTATTTATTCAGAAAATTTAGTACATTACGTACAGGGAGGTTAGCCAGTTACAGGGAGGAGTTTGTTCTCATTTAAATATATTGACTCATGACAGTTGCCCTCAACATCACACTTGGAGGCTTGCCAATTCGTCGCAGAGGACCATACAGCACAATTATGTCTACGGATTGTTCAATGGCTGGAAGGCTTAGCCTCCAAAGCACTTGACTTGGAAAGAAAGGTTATTACTTACTGCTACATTTTTTTATTCCAAAATATCTGGAATTGTGCGCAAAAAGTTATGATCTGGCTAATATGCCAATCTGTTCTTATGCAAATTTCTGAGTACTAGTATCACACCATGGCCTGTATTAACCTCGTTATTTGGAAAAGACTGTGAGCTCTCACAGCTTCTTGTGTACTGAGAAATTTTGAACATGGAAATTGTCAATACTTTCAGGTGCGAGGGTCTCATGTTGGTGCCTGTCTCCCAAGCTCTGGAATTTGGTACCATACTCAGTGCTATCTTAAGAAAGGAGCATCCAGTACAAATACGATTCATCACTTGGATTTTGATGCTCCAACACGTGAACATGCTCAACAATTACCTGATGACAAAGTATTCTTTGTGCTTGTCTTACAAATTTCTTTGAAGTTTGCTTCGCTTTTTGCAGTCCCATCTTGATGTTTCCTGTGGCCATGTTTCTTCATTTGTATATAGAATTTGTGCACTTTTAAAAATAATTATCTACTATAAAATGGATTTTTAAATTAATAGGTTGTCTAATGGACTTCTTTTTATAACTGCCCCCTTTCCCCTCCTTGAGTTCTCAATGCATTGCTGGCTTATTTTGTAGTACCCCATGAATATGCAACCAGGTGTACAAACACAGACACAAACACCAATCAGAGGAATAATATACTTTTACTTTCATGATTACAGAACTTACATTTGACCAGGTGAACACTTAGGGAAGACACCATACTATAATGTAAAGAATATCAAGTTGTAAGTAGAAGATTACCAGCATTGTATATTTTCTTATAAGAATATGAACCCTTCTGTCTTGTCTGTTGTCTGGAAATTGCATTTAAAATTATGGAAAGTACTTTAGATTCTGTAGAGTTTTAACAATGCAGTATGCGTGCCTTTGTGCTGCAACACAACACAAATTAGTCTTCCAAAAATAGTATCTAGGTTTACATTATTTTTGTATTAAAGGGGACAGGTGTTGTCAAGTCAGAGTCAATTAACTATATACTGGGCTCCAATCCTCACCTTTTTTCCGGCTAGGGATTTACAAATCTACTTTTAACGTAAGTGTTTGACTTGTACTTTTTTCCATGTTGAAGACTGTTCCCTAAAGGGGCTTGTATATATTTTTATGCATGTATGCTCGTCTCAGATAACGTTTTGACAATTTTACTCCTACAGAAACAAGATGAATCTCTTTGGAAGATGTCTGGACTCTTTTAAGAGCTGGAAGACTGGAAGAGGCATGTCACCTTTGCCGATCTGCAGGACAGGTAAGAGAAGTTCTGAAAATATGAGATTAATACTTTATTTTAGGTTTCGTGTTCCTGTCCTGATACATATTAACATTTTGGTAGCCATGGAGAGCTGCAACTTTGTGCGTATTTGGTGGACTTGATCAGTTTCCTTCAATTGAAGCCCTGGTGAAAAATGGAAAGGATAGAACTTTGCAAGCCATTGAGTTGGAAAGTGGCATTGGCCACCAATGGCATCTGTGGAAGTGGGCTTCTTATTGTGCATCAGAGGTAGGGTTTGAAGGATTTGGCAATAGAAAATTCTGTCCTTTTAGATGAAGTTCATATGTTGTTTAATCCATTTTAGGTTCTTTGAATTTTATAACATCTCTCTCCAACATGCGTGAATAATAAAATTGAATGCATTTTGCGGCTGAAGGCAGGTCCTGCGAACACACACACACACACACACATATATATATATATTTTTAATTTTAATTTTTTGTTTTCTCTCCATGGTTTTCTCATTGTTCTGACTGTCATAAAATTTTCTGTTGCGTTTTCTTTACAATTAATTTTTTGTCCAATTGTGATTTAGAGGTTGCTTGTTTTATTTTAACACCTGAAGTATTGTAACATGCTAAATTTCCTTTCTATCTTTGTTTGGAAGAAAATAGCAGAGCAAGATGCTGCTAAATATGAATCAGCAGTCTATGCAGCACAATGTAGCAATTTAAAGCGCATGCTTCCAATCTGTACTGACTGGGAGGTATTTGTTTTTTCCCCAACTTACAAAAATCCGCAAATCTCCTTTAATCTCATATGTTGTTGTAACTAATTTTTATATGGTTTTTCTTTCTGAGGAGTCAAGAGCTTGTTTTGTATTTACTGTTTAATGGTTCATATATTGAGATTTTTAATTGTTAAGTGACAGCGTGTTACAGTCCCTTCATAACTTATATAAAAAAAATTCCTAAAGAGCTTAAAAAATTGGCTCTACTCATGCACAGGAGGTTTGCAAAAGAAGTGTCTCAGAACAATAAATTTTATAATTTTAAGGCTGATAAAAAGTCTTCCCAACAAGCAAGAATCTAAGTCACAGACTTGGGATCACCTATTTCACTGCAGGCAAAGAAAACACAAAAGACCATAGCTCCCTGGTAAGCAGACAATTCAGCAAAAGATGGTCAAGATCAACTGTATCGCCACTACTCTTGTGCATGCAACATAAATTGATAATAATGTTGTTCCACTTCCTAAGGTTTCCAACCATCAAAGTTTATACAAAGTCTCCTTGCCAAGTCCACTTTTGTATGGTGAAAATATTTTTATGTTTGCTGCATTGTAAAACTAGTTTATATGTCTAGGAATGCTGTTCTCTTGGAGTTCTTTGTTGATAATATTGATTTTTTTATTTATTTCCTTGTAACACCACTGTCAGTTTTAGATGCCTTTTTTGAAATCTGACCAAACACATTTTCAGTCAGCATGCTGGGCAATGGCAAAGTCATGGCTAGATGTTCAGTTGGATTTGGAATTGGCTCATTTAGAACCAGGAAGGTTGGATCAATTTAAAAGCATTGGAGATGCAATTGATGGAAGTCCTGGACATAGTGATGGAGCTGTTCAGCCTTCAAATGGACCAGGAATTTGGCCACTCCAAGTTTTGAACCAGCAACCACGACAACTTTCTGATCTTCTTCAGAAACTTCATTCAGGGTAATGTTTACAGTGCGATTTTCGTTCTGATTTTGAGCTGTCCGTTCTGCAGTGTTTCTTAACGGTAACAAAAGTGTAATTTATTCAATATGCAAATTTTATTTTATTTGAATTAGGGAAATGGTCCATGAAAGTGTTACTCGAGGATGCAAGGAGCAGCAACGCCAAATTGAGGTATCTTGAAAAGGAAATAAGTTAGTTGACTCTGTTTGTTTCGATGGAAAATAGTTGCGTTGAAATTTTTTTTCTAATGTTCGTTTGAATGGAAAAGCTTTCTCATGTGGAAACTTCTTTAGGACAGGCATTTTCTTTCTGTTAGAAAATGTTTTCCCCCTAAAATCGCCAAGACAGAAAAAAAAAATATATATAGTCAAAGAAAATATGAAGGAAAAAGGTTTCTCAAACACTTGTACTAGGTTAAGCCTTGACCAGAATATAATCAAGAAAATGTTATTGTGGGAAAAAAATTTCCTCAAAGAAATCTGATTTCCTAACAATTAGAGCCTTAGTTAGAATTGGATTTCCAGGTGAAGTTGTTCGGTGTTTCTACTATATTGGGTAAATGTGTTCTGTTGAATCTTATGTTCATGTTTATTTGTCTTGACAAAAGAATTGGAAGGTGTTAATGATTTTTTTAATTTATGCATGCTCCTAATGCTATTTTATTCACCACTAATATTTGCTCAACTCTTCTATGAATATGTGTGCACTATTATACATATATATATATATATATATATATATATATAAGTTCCCACTCCTGCCTGTGTTCCATTATTTGGTGATCACAGATGATTCTAAGTACCCACTATTTCTTCTTTATCCAAAGGAAGGATACAAATTTTTGTGTGCTTATAACAACACATTGTTTCACAGATGATTCTAATGTTAGGGGATATTGCACGATTGCTAGACCTTATATGGTCGTGGATAGCACCTTCAGAAGATGATCAGAATGTCTTCAGGTAAGGTTATGTTAGTTGCCTTCAACTCAGTTCTAGATATATGTGTCAGATGGCAAACCAAGTTAACTCTTTATTCCTGGGCCCTATAACATTTGGTATGACCAAATACTAACTCATACAAATAAGTGTTGTTTCTGCCCACTGGAAAGTCCCAGTGACAATGTATCAGATGCTCAATGCAACATGCAAGTTCTTCAATGGATGATCACGATGATATTATGATTTTTCATGTTAATGTGTTTTGGTGATTTCTTTCGTACATGAGTATTCTCAGTTTCAATAAATTTTTGCAAACAAATTTCTTGTAGTCCTACATGTTCCACTAAACCAAACACATCAAGTGGTTCTCTAGTTGCTTAGGATTTGCTGAATGCCTAATGGGCGTTGTTTTTTTCTGTCAGGCCTCATGGAGATCCTCAGATGATTCGATTTGGTGCTCATCTAGTGCTTGTGCTCAGATACTTACTTGGTGATGAAATGGATGCTTTCAGAGAGAAAATTATGAATGTTGGTGATCTCATTGTACACATGTAAGTAGTTTCAAATCATGTCTAATGCAGTTGCGATGTGACGAGGTACCCAAACTATAGTTAATTACCATTTTGTAAAACCAATGACCATGATGAACAACAAAAAGAAAACTTGGGGAAACAATATGAGGAAATAAGATGTATTCTTTAACCCCCTGAAGGGATTAAATAGAATACAACTCTATTGACACGAGAAAACTAAATTTCAACCAAGTCACTTAATTCAGGGAACTATCACACACCCTAACAAGCTAGGAAACCAAATCTTTTTACAATCATAATTACAATATGCTTTTATTTTCTATCATGTTGGCAAATAGAGATCCCATAAATTTAACCACGTAATTATCTTTAGGCCAAAGCTGAAGCTGAGTTCTTCCCTATGGCTGTTTTCCTTTCTGGTTTTCTTTTTTCTTTGAGGTATACAAAAAAGACCCGGAAATTGCCAAATTTGTCTTCACAGAAGGTGTTGGGGAAGGTCTTAGGTTTATAATGGTAGAGAATCTTACCAAGAAGAAATGACAATTACCATAAAATAGCGTGTTTATCTTCTACTGCTTCGTTGCTCCATTGGAGTCTTGTTCTTATACCTTATTTGGATTTTTTATCATCTTATTTTTCTGTAATCTCCCCCCCCTCCTTCGTAATTAAAAGTTAAAATATTTTCTTTTAAAAGTGGAGATATATGGCACATTTCCAAATTATATCTCGTAGTGGAATTCTTCAACGTGTGCTTGACATGGATTTGGTTCCCATGTAGAGGTGTCTACCTTCACTGACCCTTGAATGAGCTCAGTGTGGAGAGAGGGTGTCTTTGGAGAAAGCTTAAATTTTGTCTTATCGTTTGCAGGTATGCCATGTTTTTGTTTTCCAAGCAACATGAGGAGTTGGTGGGTATATATGCTTCTCAACTTGCACGCCACCGGTGCATTGACCTCTTTGTGCACATGATGGAACTGAGGCTGAACAGCAGGTAATGGTGACTCCTTACTTGGGTTATGAGGTTAATGTTTCTATGCATATTTTTTTTAACAAAAGTATATATGGTATTCAAGATTTGCAGATTGTATCATAATTTTATGTTAGCAAGATATTTCAGATTGTAGGGTATTCTGTGCAAGGGTCAACGTGCAGCTTTATCGATAACTTCTTATAAATGATTTCTTTGTTGCCTGTTAACAGTGTGCATGTCAAATATAAGATCTTCCTTTCTGCTATGGAGTATTTACAATTTTCCCCTGTGGACAACTCGAAAGGAAGTTTTGAAGAAATTGTTGAGAGGTTTTTCTGTTTCTTCTTGATACTACTTTACTTTTTGGGTAGGAAGAATGCAATTTGATCTTGCTATAAGTTATTCTACTTCTAACAAACTGTTAAACAGGGTTTTGTCAAGATCTCGGGAAATCAAAGTTGGTAAGTATGATAAGCTATCAGATGTTGCAGAGCAGCACCGGCTGCAGAGCCTTCCGAAAGCTATGGTTATCCAGTGGCTCTGCTTCACACCCCCCTCCACAATTACTAATGTTGAGGATGTCAATACAAAACTTCTTCTGAGGGCTTTGATGCACAGGTAATGGTTGTACCATGCTGTATAGCTTGATATTAGGATTGTGGAATATGAAGCTGATTTCTCGTCAGTATGCAGCTCTGAAATCAAACAAAAATGAATACACTGCATGCGATTTATTCTAGGTTCTTGGCTTCCTCAAATATAACCTTTTTTAAAATTTTTCTTTTTCCTATAGCAACATATTGTTCCGGGAGTTTGCCCTGGTTTCAATGTGGAGAGTTCCTGCAATGCCCATTGGTGCTCACACATTACTTAGTTTTCTTGCTGAACCTTTGAAGCAACTTTCAGAATCTTCTGATAGCTTGGAGGATTACAACGTTTCTCAGAACCTGGAAGAGTTCCACGATTGGGTATGCTTCATTTTTGTACATCTCTCTCTTTCTCTCTCTCTCTCTCTCTCTCTCTCTCTCTCTCTCCCCAATTAACCTTGACAACTTATTAGGATGCTATCCCATCCCTGTGAAATTTTATATAAATATAGATATTGAATCATTATTCATTTTGAACAGAGTGAGTATTATTCTTGTGATGCAAAATATCGCAATTGGCTCAAAATTGAATTAGAGAATGCAGAGGTTTCTCCACTTGAACTCTCAATGGAGGAAAGACAAAGGGCTATTTTAGCAGCCAAGGAGACTGTGAATTCGTCTTTGTCATTGTTGAGTAAGTTGATTATTTCTCTTATTGGATTTTTTTCAAAAAAAAAGGAAGATCTGGTTCGGCTAGTGTTTGTTTAAACACTACGGATTTTGCTGAGGACAATGGATTCAGCTTTGCATATTTAATTTTAATTGCTTGACAGAATCCATTATTTGTGTCCTCTTTTGTTTCAGCTTTTGAGTTTGAATTTGAATGTCTTGACATATAAATATTCTGTCTTTTGGCTATAGGAAAAGAAAATCCTTGGTTAGCTCCTGGTGAAGATCATGTGTACGAATCTGTGGAACCTATATTTCTTGAATTGCATGCCACTGCAATGCTTTGCTTGCGTTCCGGTGAATGCTTGCCTCCAGATGCAACTGTGTGCACTACTTTAATGAGTGCTCTTTACTCTTCAGTGAGCGAGCAAGATGTGTTAAATCGGCAACTAATGGTATGTTTATTTGTTTGCGGAAACCGATGGGAAGAAAGGGTAAAGTAAATGTGGATTGACATATTTTCAAAACCAAGTAAGAATCCAAATTCCCCTTGGTGTGGGATCACAATGGCAAGAACAATAATGGAGACTTGTGCTGTCCAGAATATTGGCTAGGCCTACGTAATTTTTTATGCATTAATGCCTCTGTTTCTTAAATTTTTATTTTCCTTACAAATAGGAATTTTCTTTTTCCGTAGATAAATGTCTCCATATCCTCAAAGGACAATTACTACGTAGAGGTTGTGCTTCGCTGCTTGGCAGTTGCAGGTGATGGTCTTGGGCAACAGGAACACAATGATGGTGGTATTCTTAGTACTGTTATGGCTGCTGGCTTCAAAGGTAAGCAATATTATTGATACTGCAGTTCTATTGTGCCTTGCATGTCGGCTACACTTGTTCTGGAACTAATTGTTATATTGGAATTTCAAGAAAAAGCAAAGGGTATGTTGAAATAAAATGGATTGTTTTTCTTTTGGGTGCATTCCGCAGTTCTCTATGTTCAACCTAACCCAATCTTGATCAGTTGATCAAAGTACAGTCGTGCTCCTATAGAATCAAAACTGAATAAAATCTAATCAACTGGTAACAAAATTTCTTTACAAAGAAAAGGAACGATGTGACACTAAAACAGGGTTATGAAGGGAACAGAATGTACTCATCAAATGCTATATTTAAAAAATAGCAGAAGTGGTGATTAAACTGATTAATTGTCATTGCAGGTGAGCTGCTTCGATTTCAATCTGGAGTCACAATGGAGATTTCCCGATTAGATGCCTGGTATTCGAGCAAAGGTGGTTCCTTAGAGAGCCCAGCAACATACATTGTGCAGGGCCTTTGTCGTAGGTGCTGTATTCCAGAAGTCATTCTTCGGTGCATGGAGGTAACCTTCTTCCCTGGTAGCCCCAATTTGAAGTCTGTGTTCAAATCATTTTATATAATAACAAAAAAACTGTGCTCCCCTTTCATGGTGTAATGCATGTCACTATGTGCAGGTCTCTCTTTCGCTTATAGAGTTGGGTATGCCACCTGAAGGTCATGATCAGTTGATTGACTTAGTTGCTTCGTCCGAGGCTGGGGTTCTTCATTTGTTTAGTCACCAACAATTGCAGGTAAGCTAATATATACTTGTCATTTGTTTACAGGGTAGACAATTTATAACTTGATGCTTTAACCATATTTCTCCTTTGTCTATTGAGCAGTCTCCACTTTTAAACAATCAGATGAAAATGCATATGTCCTAGGGGCAGGCACTTTTGTAGCGTAAATTAAATATCTTTACCGTCAAAGTTTCCACGGATAACCATTGAAGAGCTTCAGTGAAGCTCTCCCTAGTTTACTTGCTCTTTTGAAGCCGTTGTCGATTGATATGAGCTGATTAATTGAACGGCTGTCTCATGTGTAGGAATTTTTATTGGTTGAGAGGGAATACTCCATAAGGCAAATGGAGCTTGAAGAGGAGCTTTCTTCTTGACTTGACTGTTGTTGTTGGTCATGAGCATGACAAGGTGGGTCTCTGGTGCTAACTGCAAGGTTGATAAGATTTGTAAAATGGTATACCACATATGCTGATCTTTGCTTTCTCGACTTAATTATTTTGGTTAGCATATCGACGTTGATGGAAATGTCAAGAATTATGATTTTGGAAAATATAGAAAGTAGAAACATTGACAAGAGATTGATATCGAACCAAATTGCAAAATGAAAATATCGAAAAAATATTGTATAATGTTTTTTGGGGTTGAAAGAACAAATATTGTATCTAATATTAAGAAGTATCGATGATATTGTTAGTATTTTATTGTTGGTAAACATAATCTGATTGATATTAGTCCATTGTATTGAGCAATTCCTGAACGCAATTCATTTCAGGGACAATTTCGTTTTCATTTTTCATAATCACTTTTTTTGGTAACAAATTTCGTTTTCAGTTTTCAAAATCACCTGTATTTTAAAAAACAACTTGAAAGTGTTTTCAATTTCCATTTTCCTTTTTTTGCACTCATTTTTCATTCATTAATTTTACATCATCACACATGAAATGCACTCTAATTATCAAAATTCGGTATTTAGAACCACCCAACTTGGACCTGCCCGCCCGATTCTTGCCTTCAGCCAGGTACTCAATCTAAGTCTTGGGAATTCCAGATCTAAAATTCACAACAACAAAAAAATCATCCAAAAAAAATTACTGCATACTCTTAGTAACATACACTTTCATTCTATGATTTTAAAATCAAAATTTGACCCCAAAAAATTCATTTTCCAAGTTTCACATAAAATTTAAAATTGAAAAGTGGAAACTGAAATAATTACCAAATGGCCATAATTTTCAAGTCTTTATTTATGGATCGCTAATGACACAAATCATTCACTACCAACTACAAAGACATCTAATTACTAATTGTAATGAAATAAATATACGAACATGGCATTTTTCAAAAAATACTATTTTTTTAATATAAAATGATTACCATCTAATCAAACGATTAAAATATATTTTTATTTGGTTGATAAGCCAAGACAGGGACTCCATGGACTGAGCATATCATTCGTTGGGCCCAAGCTACGCAGAATAAGAATAGATAGACCTCAAAGAATAGAATGATCTTACAACTTGATGAATGCTGGTTGTCATCTCAGCCTCCCAGAAATCCCTCAAGCTCTTGCACAAAGCCCATCTAATCTAATCTAATCTAATCTAAAGACACCCTCAGCCAGCAATACATTAGTTTTCTTCTCCCAATAGGAAGAGCATCACATAAATAGGAAAACCCCATGATGTGTTTTGTGCGTGATCTATTTGAGCCCAAGTAGCCCAAGTAGCATATATTGGGAAATCAACTTTTCACACTAGTGATGGCATGGCGAGGTTATTATGCAACAAGAATTTTGCTACATAAAAATAGTTTAATGAAACAATTTCAATAGCAAAAACTTAGTGAGTGCAACTAAGTGTCTAGTTTTCAAATTTTCCTTTTTAGTGTGGTACCTAAGATTTGTTTTGATGTACGAAATATTGGGATCCCTCAAGATCTTCCGACTAAATATGATCGGGGACTTTATCAAATATTATAATTAAGATAATTTTAAATTTGTTTTTGTTATTGGAGGAGGCTTGGAATCTCTTTTGGAAAGAAAAGTATTGCTAATATCAAAAGGTTGTTGGTTAATAAAGATAATGTTTTCGCACGCGCGAGAGCCTCCTCTCTCTTGACATTCATTTCTTACCTCTTGGCGCGCACAAGCACCTCCTCTTCTATTGACATTCCTTTCTTATCTCTTGGTGGCGCGCGCGAAAAGCCTTATCTTCCTCAACATTCTTTTCTTACCTCTTGGCGGCGACTGCAAGAGCCGTCTCTCTCTTCCGACATTCATTTCTTACCGCTTGGCGCGTATTCGTGCACGCAAGCACTCATTCTCCTAACATTCCTTTTTGACCTCTTGGCCGGTATTGGAGCGATGGAGAGCCCCCTCTCCTCACGACATTTGTTTCTTACCTCTTGCCGCCATTAGTTTTATGAAAACATAAATTTTTCATTAAGATTTTTATTAAAAAGTGGATGGGAAAATATAATATATGTACAATAACGACATTGTTTTTAAATTTATGTCACAAGTATGTATGCTAAAAAAAAAAGTGATACGTGTGAAAAACAAATTCTGATAAAAAAAAAAGTACGAAAGAAAAATTCATGTGTTGAGAAAAACGAGGATGAAAATAGAATTTGCTTAATCCAAATCAGTATATTAAACTCATATAGGCAACTAGCGCAGCCAATGACTCCCCGAATGCTAATCATATAAAAATCATATCAGACTCACAAAGAAGAAGACAACACAAACAGAAAACACTTTCTTCAACGAGCTTCACAACTCCCCCGCGTCTCTCTTTCTTCTCAGTTTTCTGTTAACTTTCTCATGAATTCAAAACTAACTGAAAAAGACACAATTTTTCTTTAGGGTTTTTGCTTCTCTTCTTCTTTTCCCTTATTTTTTTGTTAATAAAATTAATAAAATTATTTTCCAACTTCTTTTCCATGATCCAAACTCTCCTCCACAGCGACCTCAGATTCAAATTCTGAGAAAATTCAATAAAATCTCATCATGGGTGTTTCGTTTAAGGTCTCAAAGACCGGTACCAGGTTCCGTCCCAAGCCTCCTCTGCAATCCGAGACCAGCGTTGTTGACGATGACGTGTCCGATACTTCCAGAAGCAGCTCCCGAGCTGCCCCCAGGAATGAATCCAATGCTCGAATGCTCGAGGTAAAATTTTGAGATTGGTCAATTTCTCTCTATTTGGTTGCTGATAAAACGTGGGAAAATAAGCGAGGCAATGCGAGAAAAGTAATTGAAAATCTGGGTCTGGTTCTGTGTATTTGTGTGCATATGTATATAAGCAAAATTGAACTTTGCAGAGTGAAAAATGAACTTATTTTCTTCTTCGGTTTTCTGGGCTCTTCTTTTTGTTTTTGTTTTTTCTGTGTAATCAAGTGGAGGATTAATTACTGGGCTTGTTTTTTGTTACCCAAATATACAGGAAAGAAGAGACAGAGAGGTTTTCAAATTTTCAGTTTAATTCGATCTTTTGGCATATGGGTTTTGCACGAGTGTGTTCAGGCGTTGTACAGAGTCTTAATTTGAATATTTGGCTTAATCGTAGTGAATTTTTTTATTTTTATTTTTGGGGGTGGAAGCTGGATGTTGAAATTAAAAGAATTTCAGATCCAGCTCTTTATTTTCACAACGGGTATTTTACTTAAGGGGGAATTTATTCATTTCCTAGAGTTTTTAGCTGCGGTGGCGTCTTATGATTAAACGATCTGATCATTGAAGCTAAATCTATTCTTGAACTAGACTTGAAGAGTTGCTATGTGGACTCAACGAAAATGTTAAAGTTCTTCTTGTGAAATTTGTAGTTTTACTCCATTCTGTCGGTGGGTTCTAGTTGTTTTGGTTTAATTTGTGACGAGCAGGAAAATTTCGAGAGTTGACGCTTTTGATCAATATACCTAGTCTAACTGGTTAATAGTCTAATACAGCTTTTCAATTTCTGTAAGTTACATTTTCTGCAGTGGTAAACGAGATTGATGCATACGGAATCTATATTCTTATCCTGATATATACATGGACATAACTTTTTGTGTGCCCTGATATGGAATGTGCAACCACAGAATTTTGATTATAGTTTGAGTGAGAGCCTTTGAATAAGGAGAATGAGTAGAGGGTTTGATGTACAATTTGCATTCTATTTTTGTTTTTTGACAAATTAGATTCTCTAATGGTTGACCATATAGGGTGATGTCATTGAGAGACATGGTAGTGTGCCCGGGGTGTCTGGTTCATCAATGTCTTCTGAAGGGCTTCTCGTATCTCCAGGTTTGTCACAATTTGTTTTTCTGTTTCGTTTTTTTTGGGTGCATATTCATTGTTTTACCTTGATTTTGCTTCCCTTTGTTTTTACAGAGAATGAAGTTTCCTTCACTTTGAATCTCTTCCCAGATGGATATTCTTTTGGAAAACCCTCAGAGGTTTGTTACAATGAAAAATAAATTATGGATAACATTATATATATATATATATATATATTCATGAAAAACTGATTCTTTTACATCTTATTTGTTATTTTAAGGTCTTATGTATTTTATGAATTTTCAGAATGAGAATTCTCATCAAGGTACACTTCAAGATGTTCCAAAGTTGTTGCACCCGTATGATAGGACATCTGAAACTCTTTTTTCGGTAAATGTCTAGTCATTTTAACCTTTTCCTTCTATATCTTTTGTGCATCCAGTTAGGGTTAGAAATTTGCAACTTTTGTTAAGAATATCGAATAGTTGCATGCATTATGACAACTCTTATATTGAGAAATTGTATATGAAATCTTTGCTGTTTTGTTGGTTCAGTGAACTCCAGCAAGCTGACTGTTGATGAGTTTCTCTCATTAGATCCATATATCAATAGACTTAACCCATCAATGAGCATGATGACATGGACTGAGTGTGTAAAACCAAACAAAGAAAAAAACAAAAAACGAAAGAGAAAGATGGTTTTGTCAAAAAGTGTTTCATCATTTTATTTATTTGAATTTAAATAGCTTATAAATCACTTTATGCCACCTATAACTCCTTGTCATCTGCCTCACAATTACTATCTGGAAGTTCTTACTTTCTATTTAATATTTGCTGTAGCTTCTTTGATTTTAAATTTCTCTTCCCTTCTTATTTACAAATATATTTTGCAGGCAATTGAATCTGGCCGGTTGCCTGGAGATATTCTAGATGATATACCTTGCAAGTATGTTGATGGAACACTTCTGTGTGAGGCAAGTTATCTATTCCTTAAGCTTACCTTTATCAAGTACCGTGAAATGTTCCTATAAAATAAGAACTTTGAAATATGAATAATACGCCTATCAACTTTTGTTAATTGTTATATAAACAAATAATAGTGGCTCTTCAGATTGAGATAACC